CCTCAAGTTGATAGGGGTTTTGTGACGCCAGTTGCTTCTTATCATCCAGGAACTGAGGGTAACAGAATTCTGCTCTAAAATTTGGATGCAGCAAAAGGGCAACTGGGTCTTAGCCTCCTGCTGTGTAGTTCATGTTTTCTTCTTTTGCAGTGTGCTTAACTGATTTCAGTCTTGTTCTGTGCCGTTGGTACTGTTTGTCTGCCCCGGTCATCATGGTTTAATGTTTCTTTGGTAGTTTTATTGTGACCCAAACCAAATGGCCATTGCTGCCTGCGTAGGTCATACCCAGACATGATTAAGACCAGATGACTCGAGAGCAAAAATAGCATCACCGACATTTGGCACGTCATACTACCACGCCTTGGTCCATTGCAGCTTCATTCGTCACTCCCCACGAGCTATAAACTGCGGGACGGAAGCAAGTGATCAGTATATTTTTATACACTTTTGCTTCAGCACATCCCCCTAAAGACATCAATGGCTAAGATTAGCCTACACCCCTTTGGTAATAAAAGATACGATGGTCATTTCTGAAAATACATCACCTGGGATGGGACCTCGGCCGAACCAGCGGTATGACTGGGCCAGCCCAACAGGCTGCACCGCTACTGGTGATATATAAAGCACGAAATATTCTATTACTTATTCTCTGTAGATCCCAAGGTCATCGTTGCTCTTTTTCACGTCAACCACGTCCATGCAATTTATTATTCAAAAGGTTCAGGGTTCTCTGAAGCTACAATACTGAGAATACAATGAGGAGGCTGGAGCACCAAGACATGACACATCCTATGTGCAATATGGTATTTTTTTTAGATATTCTTGAATACAAGGTTATGAAAAAAATGGGGCCATTCCAATGATGTTCGAATTATGAAAAAGTTGTTCGAAAATGGGGCCATTCCAGTTATAAATGCCGCCTCCTCGCGAGCTGTCCACGCACCCGACGCCTACTTCTTCTTTCCCCCGCCACCGACTGCTTCTCCTTCACCCTGTCGCCGCTCTCTTCTCTCTCCCTTTCGGCGACGATATCCTCCAATGGCGCGGGCAGCAGCTCCGGCAGCGGTGGTCCTCGGTGGGCAGCGCCTGGGCGTCGATCCTGGGCACGCCTGAGACAGAGGAGCTCATCCATTTCGGCCTCACAGTGCCGCCGGTTTGCCGTCTCCGGAAGGAGTTCAAAATCACTGCTGAAGGATACCCAACAAGGGGCCCTGGTGCGACGCCGGAGGAGCGTCGCCGCCACATAGGCGGCCAGTGGAACAATGTCGGCCGCCATCATTTTTGGGACGGCAAGAACCACGGGGCCATTGTGGGCGAGCTCCGGCGGGCGGCTACGGGATCTTCGTTGGCCTCGCGTCGATCGGCGAGGTGCGCCAAACGCTGCGCTCTGGCAACCCCTCCCCCGCCGGAGTAAGTCGTGCTCCGGGAAGACGGCGACCTCGACGACACCCCCGGCTACCTCGTTGCCTTACGAGCGTCGCAGGCAGAGGCGGCGGCGGCTGCGAGGGAGGCGCCGCAGATAGCGGCGACGTTGGAGGCGGCAGGCGCAGTAGAGGCAGAGGCGGCAGCGACGGAGAAGGAGGAGGAGGACGACGACATCTACTGGGCCACCGTCACCCAGAGCAGCGACGACGGCGATAGCGGTGCGGGCAAGATCATCGAAATTTCGTAAAAATATGTTTGAATGAAATTCCGTAATGTTTCATTAATTTTTGTTATGTTTGAATGCAATTTAGATGCAAAAATAATTGCAAAATATTTAGATTAGGTTTTCACTTTACAATTTATTTATTAAAAAAGTTATATATATTTCACAAACAAGGTTTTTTTTTAAAGTCCAACGACGCCAACGGGCTGGCTTAGCGGACGTGAATTATAAAAAATTAAAAATAAGGTTCACAACTTTTGCCAGCTAATGGGCATGCCCATTGGACCACTCGACGCAAAAATTGAACAAATTTGGAGACGGGACGCAAGTTGCGTCACGCCCGGCCACTATTTTAGGATTTTTTTTCACTGAAAAAACCCTAAAAAATGCATACAGTGTCAAAAATCATTGAAGCTTGGCACCGATCCTTGCCATGCTGATTGTAGCGTGTGGAAAAAATTTGAGCCCATTCGGCGGATGTGCGAAAAGAAGTTGTACCAGACGAACACTTCTGTCTAACTGAAACCCTCCGTTCTACAGCAAGTACTGGTGTACATTCATAAAATTTACCCAAATTTTGCCAGCTAGTGGGCATGCCCATTGGAACACTTCATGCAAAAATGGAACGAATTTGAAGACCGAACACACGTTGCGTCATGTTCGGCCATTATTTTAGGTGTTTTTCGCCGAGAAAACCCTAAAAATGCATACAATGTAAAAAAACATTGAACTTGGCACCAATGCCTACCACAGTGATTATAGCGTGTGGAAAAAATTTGAGCCCATTTGATGCATGTGAGAAAAAAAGTTGTACCAGATGAACCCTTCTGTCGTAACTGAAACCCTCCATTCTACAGCAAGTACCGGTGTACATTCATAAAATTTACCCAACTTTTGCCAGCTAGTGGGCATACCCATTGGATCACTCCATGCAAAAATTGAATGAATTTGGAGACTGAACACATGTTGCGTCACGTCCGGCCACTATTTTAGCGGTTTTTTGCCGAGAAAACCATAGAAAATGCATACAATGTAAAAAATCATTGAAACTTGGCACCGATGCTTGCCCAGGTGATTGTAGCGTGTGGAAAAAATTTGAGCCTGTTCGGTGGATGTGAGAAAAGAAGTTGTACCAAACGAACCCTTCCGTCCTAACCAAAATCCCTTCGTTCTACAGCAAGTATCGGTGTATATTCATAAAATTTACCCAACTTCTGCCAGCTAGTGGGCATGCCTATTGGATCACTCGACGCAAAATTTGAATGAATTTGGAGACCAAGCGCATGTTGCGTCATGTCCGACCACTATTTTGGATTTTTTTTCTCCTGGAAAAAGCAAGAAAATGCATACAGTGTCAAAATTCATTGAAATTTGGCACCAAACGGGTTATAAAAAAATCGTCCGATTTGAAAAAAAAACTTCATGGATTTTGTAAAAAGGTTCTCGGGTTTGAAATATGTTCATTGATTTTCACCAATAAGTTGATGGATTTGAAAAAAGTTCATCAATCTTGGAAAAATATTCATGGATTTGAAAAAGATTGCAGATTTTGAACAAAAAAATGGATTTGGAAAAAGTTCATCAATTTCGAAGAAAAAAATCACGGGTTTGAGAAAAGTTCACAGATTCCTAAAAAAATTACGAATTAAAAAAAGGTTCACTAAAAAAGTTCCAAAAAACTGAAAAAATACGTATTTGAAAAAAATCACTAGATGGTTAGCAAAAAAACTGAATAAAAGTTCATGGATTTGAAAAAAAATCGTGCAAGTTGAAAAAAGTTCACGCTTTTAACAAAAAAAATAGAAAATGGTAAAATAAAAAATAAAGCAAAAAAGTAAAAACTAAAGAAGAAACGAGTGAGGCGTTTTGCTCCCAAGATCATCTGCACCTGCGCTGACTAAAAAAATCAAAACAAATACTAGAAAAATTCAAAAATAATCCAATTTTTTGGCATGGTAGATAATCTAGTGTGTGATGTCCACCCCAAATTTCAAATTATTTGGACATCTGAGTAGCTCTCGGCAAAAAAGACAATTTGGGTCACATACCCAAATTGTTTTTTTTGCTGAGAGCTACTCAAAAGTTCAAATGCTCTGAAATTTGAAGCGCACCTCACGCACCAAATTATCTATCTTTCATAAAAATTTGGATCTTTTTTAATTTGTTTGAATTTTTTATGAATTGTTTCTCGACCGGGTGCAGATGAGCCCGGGCTCAGAATTGGATATTCGAGAAGAAACAAAATATATAATCAGAGCCCAATATTTTCAGAACACCCAATATTTTCAGAATCGAGCGTCACACCGGAAAAGGAAAAATACAATTAGAGCATTGAAGCGAGAGGATGGCACGAGATGCACGGCTGATGACGAGATGAGGGAGATGGCTGCCTCTTTCTATCACAATCTATTTACTTCAGAAGGGTCTGCTCAGGCTGACCGCCTGCTACAACACTTTGAAAGTGTGATCTCTGAAAACATGAATGGAAAACTCATGGCTGCAATATCAGACTTGGAAATAGAGACTGCTCTATTCCAAATGGGACCGACGAAAGCGCCCGGGCCGGACGGCTTCCCGGCGTTGTTTTATCAAAGGCACTGGCCGATGGTACGTGGCGATGTGTGTACTGCGGTTTGGGATTTTCTTGCAGGTGTCGCTGCACCAAATTCGTTCAATGACACTGTTATAGTCATGATACCGAAGGTTAAATCACCGGAGCTATTATC